TATTCATTCCTTCTGCCAGGAATCTGGGAGCAGCAGCACCACAAACTGATGGCCAAAAGGAGCAAGGGCTGAGGGAGAGATGGAACACAGCAGCTCTGCAAGATCCGGGATGCAAGAGCTCTCTTTATTTATGATGAAGGATTAATTATTTTTACAAAGAAAAGGATTAATGTTTTCATGGAAGGCATGGTGTAATATTTTTCATCCAAGTCACTCCCCAGTGAGGAGCTTGGCATCACGGCCGCTCTCCTCGGGGCAGCGCAAGCCAGGCTTTGGTGCAGGACTGTAAAACTCAGCTCAATACAGTGCAGCTGTGTAATGTTATCCCTGACACCATTAAACTGAGTTCATTAGTGAGCAAGGATCAAACCAGATCTTCCCTTGGAAGGTGAGAGTCAATTCCCGACACTGCCAGCTCCCAGCTCGTGCCTGCTCAGCCCGGGCTGGATTCTCCTGTAACCTTTGGTACCCAGAACAAACAGAGACTGCTGAGCAAACAGACCTGAGCACAACTGCTGCTCGTGCTCCAAGCCCCACTAAAAGAGCTTAAAATTCACGGTTTTAATGGAGTCAGACATTCCAGCTGTTTGTGAATATTCTCCAAGAGATGATGCAATGGTGGAGCCCGATCTGTGTGTAGCTAACACAGATACCTGGCCCTGTTTGAGCAGCACAACAGGAAGCGTGGCTGGGATGGTCCCTGGGTATGACCCTGCCTTCCCTCGGCTTTGCCGACAACTTCCAGCTGCTGGAGGTGGCACATCCATCCCAACACTCCCAGGGAGACGGAGATGGAGTCCTTGGGAGCTCAGGGAAGGAGGGAGCAGATAACCATCCCCCCTGGAGAGGGATGGGGCAGCTTGTCTCTTTTGGAAAAGGCCAACACCACATCGGGAAGTCAATGGTGGCAAGTGAGTCTGCAAACCAGAAGCCACATGAGTGTGAGGAGAAAGCAAAACGAGTGAGGCATGTCCAGAAAAAGCTAAATATCTGGTAGGAGTGCAAAAGGCTAAGAATTCCCAAGCTGGCATCCCCACATCTCCAACATTCCTCCATGGAGCTGCTCAGCCCCACAGGGCTCCTCCAGTGCTGCAGCACTCCAAAACAGCGTTGTGAGAATGTGCTTAAACAGTATCAATAGCAATTAGAGGGAAAATCCTGATCCCATCCCCAGCCCCAGTTAATTGTCGCAACATTGATTTACTCTAATTTGACTTCTCACTCCAAATTAAACCCGCATTACCCAAGGAGGGACCGCAGGCAAGCTCCCCCCGCTCGGCCCCTCCCCTGCAAGACAATAAATTTAATATTGAATACACTTGGAAAAAAAAACCTGGCAGTTGTTGCAGGATCCATACTGAAAGATCTTTTTCCTTTTCTCACTCTTTTTCTTTTTTTTTCTTCCTGCGAGTAATTAAAAGATGCTTTTCTTGACTAATGATTCCCCTGTTTAGGAATGGGAAGTCGATACTCCTTCACCAGCAGTCAGCTTCAATTTGTCACAGGCCTCCCGAAGTTTGAGCGGCGTTCTCGGGGCTGCTGGTAATTGCTGGAACCAATTACCAGCTCTCCAGAGCTGACCTAATCAGGGACCCACGGACACAGCAGCTCAGGGCCCAGCTGGTCCCTGTTCCCTTCCACACTCCAGTGTTTGCCTGGGCTTGGGTTTTCCGACGCTTCCCCAACCTTTCACGCTCACTGGAGCTGCTGTTTATTCCTCCTTCCTCCCCAAAATCCCAGCAACACCCTCAGCTTTGCCTTGTGCCGCTTCCTTGGGGATCCCACCACGCCTGTGCTCCCCAAACCTTCCAGTTCAGGGCCAGGGGCCATCCTGGCCGTTGCTTTTCACTTACAGGGGCACTGAACGACCTGGAGATCTGCCTGAAGGGTTCCAGGATGCTTTGGGTTGGAATGGGCCTTAATGTCCATCTCATCCCACCCCCTGCCATGGGACACCTTCCACCAGACCAGGTTGCTTGTCCCTCCCTCCTGCCATGACCTGGAATTTATTAATATTAATATATATAAATTAATATTAGAGGACATACCCAGGCAATATATCCCTGGGCAATGCAGGAGGGATAATGCCTTCTGCTAAAGGCTTTGAATTTTACATACCCTCCAAGCTCAGAACCTTTCTGGCCTTCAAAATAGGTGTCCAGGTTTATCTTTGCCCATGATTTGCTTGGATGATGAATTTGAAGTGCATTTGGTGGGCTAGAAAAGGATGGCAGTGGTTTAATGTGGTTTAATCACAGAATATCCTGAGCTGGAAGGGATCAAGGTCATGGAGTCCAACCCCTGGTCCTGCCCAGACACCCCAATAACCCCCACCCTGTGCATCCCTGGGAGCCCCTGGAGCTCTGGCAGCCTCAGGGCTGTGCCCATTCCCTGGGGAGCCTGGGCAGTGCCAGCACCCTCTGGGGGAAGAAGCTTTCCCTAAATCCAGCCTGAGCCTGCCCTGACACAGCTCCAGCCGCTCCCTTGGATGCTGTTCCTGGACACAGACAGGAGATGGGAGCTGTCCCTCATGGGGAAAGTGCAGGCCATGTTACAGTCTTGAATTTGATAATATCTTATTTTTGAGTGTACAAAATTACTAAAGGGAAGCTATACTCACAGCCTGGCGTAGCTCTGGTTTCAGAAATACTGGTGATATTCTTCTGGATAAGATTCCTTAATCACACCATGACCTGGAGTAGCCATTTGGCAATTTCTCCTGTCAAAAACCATCTCCATGGATCCCTCCACCTTTTCCTCTACTCCACAGAAACACACAGGATGGCACTGCAAGTATACAGTGATCAGTGCCAACCTCTCCCAGGCTGTAGGGACTGCTTCAAAAGCCACATCAAGACTTTCAGGTTCATTTTAGTCCCGTCTGTGAACACTCCTTGAGCCTCCCAGCCCAACAATTCAGCATTTGTGGAGCAGCTCATTACCTTTTTTGGGGGTTTTTTGTGTCTCTAGAAATCTGTGAGCTTCCACTAATGGCTTCATCTCCAATAGAAAGACACAACATGAAAAGGTGAAACCCATGATCCTCTCTGAAAGTGTCCATTAAGGGCCCATCACAGAATCACATTCCCAGAGTGGTTTGGGCTGGAAGGGACCTTCAGGACCACCTTGTTCCACCCCCTGCCATGGCAGGGACACCTTCCACTGTCCCGGGCTGCTCCAAGCCCTGTCCAGCCTGGCCTTGGGCACTTCCAGGGATCCAGGGACAGCCCCAGCTGCTCTGTGCACCCTGTGCCAGGGCCTGCCCACCCTGCCAGGGAAGGATTTCTGCGAAAGCAGAACCTCTACCTGAATAACTTAAATTTATTTTCTCACCACAGCTTGGACAGAAGGATTGTGATGCTGGCAGAGACCAAAGGGAAGCACAGAAGGAGGCGCACACTGGGAAAAAGCAGAACTTTCTGGTGTTTACATGAAAAATTGCATTTCAGTCCCTGCTGCAAAGAGCAGAGGAATGGGAACAGCAAAGCAAGATTGCAATTGCTTTGTGGGAAAATTTCCACATCATCCTAATTCTACTTTTTCTAGCACCTCTTCTATCACATAAGCGTGAACCTGGACACAGAGCTAGAAAATCCTATTTATAAAATGAATCTTTTTGTCCAAAAATGCTGCAGTGCAGGAGAGAAAGTGCAGTGATATCAGTGACAATCAGAATCAGCTGAATATAACCATAAAGATGCACAGAAACAAAGTGGGAAAATTAAAATAAGCCCTGAGCATGAAACACTAAGAGAAAAAAGTTGATTTTCTAGAAGCAAAATTCAATCCCAAATGCATTATTAATTGAAATGGATGGTGCTCTTTTCATCACAGTCACATGGATTTTAGATTTTTCATGATGTTTATTATGTGGGTACTGAAATAATGTGATTTTTCTTTCTTTTTTTTTTTTTTTAATAGAATTCCAATTGAGTGCAAGCATTTTCCTTTCAGGTGTTTACAACTATTGCTCCATCTCACCTCAGCAGTAAGGAGCAACATATATTTGTGAGGTGCAAGAATAGAAAATCTCAGTATTAAAGTGATAGTAATGACTGAAAATTCATTTCAATCTACTTGATGAAATCACAGTGTGTAATAATACACAGGTATAGAGCAGACATCCCATTTCTGCCTGAACAAAACCTCTCTTTGGGGCTCTTGGAGCACTTTTAAATGTACAACCATTCATCTAAGTAGCCTGATTAATGTAGTGGCTTCATTCTCGAAGATGAACCAAAGGTGGCACCACAAATTCATTTTTCAGGGCTAACGAAATAATGCAATAAGAAACAGTTGACTTTCTTACACACAACAGCACAAACCCAGCCCTCTGCTGCAGGAGGTGGCCCAGGCATCGTGATCTTTCCACCTGATCCAAAACTGGAAAAAGTATTCTCAAAACATCTGTCTTTGACCTCAGTTGGATTAATTAAGCATAAAACCCCCTAGTTTTAGGTAGAACACCACATCACAGGAAGATTTTCAGTGTGTGGCTCTTTGAGAGGCAGGTGAAACACTATTCTCAAAGGAAATACCCCCCCAGCAAGTCATGGTTTCACATAAATCACACACAGAAAAGTAACCAAGTCGATGGCGAGCAGGACTTTGAACACCCTGAGCAGAACCAAAGACCTGACAGCCAGGTACAAATTCCCAAGTGAGCCTGAACCCCTGCAGGGAGATTATTAATGACAAACTGATAGTCCAAGAGGCAGGAACTTTGTGGCCCACTGAGACAAAGGAGGACACGACAGGATAGTTTAGATGGAGGAAGAAGAAGGTTTCCATCTCCCACTGAACACAAAACTGCAGAGCTGCTGAGGAAACCTTCCCAATGTCAAGAAAGTAACGAAGCCACTCAACTTTTGCCACCCCCCCACCCTGACACACGCAGTTCCTGGGCTATAGTGAGGATATAAATAATGATTTTTCCACAAGGGGGAATTGAAAAGCGGCAGCGTCACGCGCCGGGCGAGGCGGAGAGAGCAAAAACCCACCTGGTGGAGTCTGAGGAAGGCTTGACGTGGCCCTGGCTGTTCTCCTCCCACACACTGTTGGCCAGCTCGTTGCCAATGGCTGACATCACCTTGATGAGCTCGATGGGCCAATCGTCCAGGTCCAGGGAGCGCACCCGCGACAGGTGCGTGCCGAGGTTGCGGTGGATTCCTGAGCATTCGATGCAGATGAGGGCTCCCAGGTTGAGGCTGGCCCAGTCGGGGTCTGCAATCAGGACACAGCAATTAGGAGAAGGGAACACCCAACAGAACCTTCCAGCTGGTGTCTGTGCCTGAAGGTTTTGGCTCTGGGGGTGGGTCTTGGCCTAAAGCGCAGCTGGGAGGTCTTCCAGGGTCAGTGGAGATGCCAACCCTTCGAAGAAAACATCGTGGAGTAAAGAAAAATAAAATGTGGTGTCTCAAAAGATGTACCCCTCCATCCTCAGTCAAAACACACTATGAATTAGGAGGGAAATGTGAAACAAAATAGATAGAAGCATGGTAATGGGTAAAGGATGATGAAAGCCCCTCCTTGGGAATGCAGAGCTGCTCCAAGGAGAGAAAAAAATAGAGCCTAGAAACAATTATCTCGTGCTAACTACCTCTGCTCCCTTAATAACCAGCTACACCATCAGCTACGTGTGCCTCTTCCATCTGACTCTTCTCCCATCTCCAAAATCAGGGAGATAAACACCAAGATGGAAATGTCCCACTTGGAACAGCCCCAGTTCCAGGGCACGAGCCAGAAGGATCCCACCCACCCCCAAAAAGGGTGAGACTGGAGCAAACCTGATCACAAGATGGGAAATTCCATTTCCCAACATGGTTCAAAGCTCTTTAGCCACTGCTCTGTGTAATTTAAAACTAGATTTGTATGGACTGCCTTCTCTCCAACAAACATTCACCTTAACAAATGCAACTGAACACACACAAGAGGAATTTTTGTTGGTTTTTTCTAACCCCTTGCTGTCAGATCTTTTCTTCACACCTTACTCTGTGCATCCCAAAGAAATACCCCAAATGCCAAGCAGGAAAATGGGGATTAATTAAGAGGGCAGGCAATTCTTACTTCTATCTAAACAAATTTTGGAGGTGACAGAAAAATGCATTTCCAGTGTTTCTACTGTTCTGAAAAATTCATCCCAAGGCTCGTCTTGACTTTGTGTAACCCACAGTTGAAAAGCTGTTTCTGGCAGCCAAAATATGAGGAAACAAAACTTTTCCTAGTTCTTTGTCATGCCATGTTTGGACAAAAAATAGGAAAGCTCATAATTTTAATTGTGAAGTCCCTCATTTCACTGAAGGCATTGACTGACATTTTTCATTCAGTCCACTGAAATCTAAAAATGCAACCAAGAAGAAAAATCCCCCATCTTATTTCACTTGAGCAGAAAAACACATCTTTTGCTTAAAAGTGCTTGTCCATACCAAGTCTTATATTATACATAATTTAATAGTTACATTAAATATACACAGCATTTCAGATCTCCAAAAAATCAGGTGAGATAAAACTCCCGCTATGCTTTCCAAGATTTTGGTACAATAACTACAACAAAATCCTTTAATTCCCTAGTTCTTTAGATATCTCCATTGTTGTTTTGCCACTGGAGGAACCAGCGGTGTATCTGAAACAAAATACACGAAGAAACCCCCAAAATTGCCATTTGTTGGTATAAATTTGAACACAGCAAGTATAAAATTGGGATGTGCAAACTGTGACTTGGATGAAACCCCTGACCTGCTAAGGCTGGGGTTATCCTGACAAAAATCAAAAGTGCAATGAGCTGTAAGAGGCATGAACTCAGAATGAAGCAAGAGAAGGGAATACCAACTTACATTATTTCAATTATTCTGACAGAACTGGTGTTAAGGACCTTTCCAAACACCTCTCCACTTGGAGCACGTGCAGTGCATCTTGTACTGAAAAAATTCTTTATATATTCACCTGCTTCAGGGCATCACAGACTGGTTTGGGTTGGAAGAGCCTCTCAGTTACCAGCACTGCTACGACTGAAGGAGTCCCCCAAAACAACAAGCAGGAAGTTCCATGAAATCTTACCAAGATGTTATTTTCATTTTCAACAATCTGACAACACACAGCTGAGTGGGAAAGTGGCAAATGAGGAAAGGCAAGGGCTGAGCTCGTTATGGAAATGAAAATTGTTATCACCAATTCACACCACAAGTGGTTAAAAGCTGTAATTATTCAAGGTTGGGGTTTTTTTTGCTTTTAAGATGATACAAACCCAGCTCCCTTTTCCTGCTGGTGGTGAGAGTAGTTCTGAATTGGAGGATGCTCACAAGCACGTGGCAGGTGTGGACATCTAGGTTTGATGGTAAAAGGAAGAAAAAGCCCACTCTAATGCAGATAGAGGTGCTTTACTTAAAATTGGTCAAATAAAAAATGAGCTTTTTAGCACTACTGAATATATCCAGATTACAATTTTCAGCTGTTCATATTCTGAAAAACACTTGGCTCACTCCTTCCCTGAAAAACTCTTCCCCACTTTGACTCACACCTCAATCAGCTTCACCATTTGGAGGTGAAAATCCTCTTAGGAGAATAACCCCTCCCCACTCTCTCCTTCATCCCTTTGGATCCAAGGAGGCTGATGAAAGGCTGAACCTTCCTGAGGTCAGCAGCTGTAAGATATCCCTGGGCTGAGCAGGGGGAATTGCTGGAAGGAGGAGCAGAAGAGCCAGGGAAGGAAGAAGCAGGGGTGAAGGCATCTCGAGCTGCAGCAGAAGAGAGAGAAAAGTTTGCAACTCTCCTATTCTTTGTGAGTTTTTTTTTCTATTCTGCATGAAAAATTTAATTCTATGATGGGTAGGACAAGATTGCCCAAATTTATGTCTCAGTGTTTGGTTTTCAAATACAAAATACACCAGAGTCAGTGATCAGACTCCTAGACAGGAAAACTCAGGATGAGAATCCATGTTTTTAAACCCTCCCTATTTTATTCTACAACACCAAAGACCTGATATTCCATGTTCTGCAGAAATCTTGAAGTAAGTGACTCATATTTATCCTCTGGCAGAGCCAAAATCCAAAAATTGAGCTGTTTGCCTAAACAATTGAATCACCTTGGGAGGCTTCTTCAGACAAAGCCAGCACCGGGACTCGCTGCTTTGGGAAAAGGCAGCACCAGTTTCCTTTTGAAACATGAAATCAGATCTTGGGCACAAACTCCAGCTCCTAAAGAGCACCTTGCCTCTTCTCTCGCTCAGGGATGGGAATGTTAGAAGGAGAATATTGGATAATTTTAGCTGGAGGCTGCCAAAGGGCTGGGATTCTGGCAGCACACACTTGGATTAACATCCAACAAGGCAGAATTCCCCGATGAAACAGAAGTGCTGCATCGAGTGCTCAAAAGGCAAAGAGCTCCAGAAAGAGGAGGAATGAGACTTCTGAAGTGCAAGATTGATGGCTCCTGAACAGAGCTGAGGGATGGCAACATCTCACACTCCTGTGCTCCCAAACATCTGGCTCTGTGGAGATGTGAACAACGTGAGAGCTCCACGGTGTGGAGTGCTGGGGTTTGTGATGTTAAGAGCTTCAGGGTAAGGACCTGGCAAGGCAGGAAGGGAGGCAAGGGAATAAAATAAAGCAAAGCCCAGCAGAAAAATCAGCAGGCTGAGGTTCACCTCCTCTGTGTGTGTGTGTTCACATTTTAAGATCCATCGCTTTGGAAATATCTCACATTTTTTTCCAAAGGAATGACAGTGGCCTTAAAATCAGGAAGGTCAAATAGCAAGAGGAGTCAAAGAGGGTTTAAATCATCTCTGAGAATACAAACAAGTCCAGCTGAGAGTCCAGAATCATCCCCCCTTAAAAGCTACATGACAGAGTGTTGCCAAAATGGGCTGTCCCACTCTGCCCTCTCCCAGAACATGTTCCTGGCACATCCCTGCTGCTGGCACCACGCACGGGGGCCAGCTTGACCCATGAGCAATCTGGCTGAAAACCAGATTGGTTTGGGGGGGAGAAAAAAACCCCAAAAAGCAAAAATAAAAAGAGTGCTGCTTTCTTGCGTAAGTGTTTTCCTGATTAAACATCCAGCCTGGCTGCATAAATCCTGGGATATGTGCATGGCTGGGGAGAGAAACACAAGCCTTGGGCATAGTGTGGAGTCTGGGCAGAACTGAGATGGATCAGAAGGATGTTGTGGAAGTTGTCTGCATCTTACAGATATATAATATAACCCCTCATAAATGTGTATCTATAAAAATAGAATATATTTGTGTATTTTATAAATCTGTATCTAGTTAGCAAGGCTAGGAAAATGCCACCCACAGTGGAGCAGGACTCAGCACCACTCCCATCGTGGGCAGCTCAGAGGCAGCACTGAGTACTTCAAATGAGCTAAATATCCATGTAGGTCATTCCCAGACCCCCTCCTCCTCACCCACAGCACACCACCCTTCCTGCCTTCCTCCTGAGCTGCATCAAAGCTTTGGGGGAAATCTCAATGACTGCCAGGTCACTATGAAAGCACACTAATAAATAAGACTCGCTTTGGGCTCCAGGTGCTAAAATACTGCTCAAACCAAGCTTTTCCCTGGCTTAGCACGTGCTGAATCACTTAGAGTGAAAGCAGAGACCAAATTATTGGTGCAGAAGCACCTGCACTTGTGTACAAATGTTCTTTTTACACTGGGGTGTCATAATGGCTTAGACCAGGAGCCAAAATCCCAAGCAGCCAATCTTTAAAGATAAAATTCACACCTGAAGAAAAATAAATGAATATTTTTTCCATTTTAAGCATGTGTAAAAATTGCAAGGAAAGTTCTGACTTCCAAATATCAAAGAAATAAAAATGCACAAGTTCTCAGTCCTTCAGCTCCTACAACTAATTGCTTTAGAGCAAGAGAACTTCCTTTCTGTGGCTTTGTTGCAAACCCCTGGAACTAAAAAGCACCAGAATAATGGCCTCAGTCGGGGTTAGTGAGGTGAAGCACAGCTCAAAGTATTCCTGAGAACACTCTTCTGAACACTAAGTATATGTTTTAAAAAATAAAAAAGAAAGGGGGAAAGAAACACAAAGGGGAAGGAAAAAAAAAAATAAAAAAATCTGAAATCAGTTTTCTAGTATCCAGATATAATGAGCAATGACTTTGGTTTCCTCTGACAAGCAAGCCTAAAAAAACCAAACCCTAAAAACAGCAATCAAGCTCTGGCTCTTTGAAAATATTACCATGGCATGTGTGCCCTCACCATGGAAAACAGGAGGGAAATGGAAGGGACTGATGTCAAACAGCAAACTTTCTGCCTTTTCTTTGAAGGGAAGTACAGAAATGCTGACATTCAACGTGGAACAACGAGGGGAAAAAAATTAGGATGCACTTGATGTGGCAGATATTGAGCATGAATTAAGCAAACTCCTTGAGGAAGCAGACATGTGCCAGAGGGATGTCCCAGCAGGGAGGCCAGGGCTGGTGTTCCCCCAGTGCTGGCCAAGGAGAAGAGGTCAGAGCAGGAGTCAGCTGGCTGTACTCACTCTGTGCCTCGCAGTCCACGCAGTGGGAGTTGCCTCTGATGTTCCTGATGGACTGCAGGGCCATGGCCTCGTTCTGGCTCGTCAGGCGCGACTGCGGGGAGCCAAAGACATCAATGAGCAGCAAGAACCCAAAAAACCCAAATGACACAACTGTCAGCTGAATGAACAGCAAACCCCAAAGCTCAGCCCAAGGTCAAATCAATATGGTCAAGGAACCTCAAGTCTTGATTTGCCTCTCAAGGAACAGCAATCCTTTGGCTTTTGGGGTCTCCAGCCTGGATTCTGACAGAGGGAAATCGAGCTTGAGAATGAACCCTGCTCCTCCCAAAAGCAGCAGCCACACTGGAGGTTTGCTTCTTGAGATAAATGAGACAAGAATATTATTTTACAAGATCAATTTCTTTTATTGATGTGTGTGCTTGTGCTAATGAAGACTAAGGGATGGTTTGCAGAAGTGGCTGGAACTTTTTCATCATCCAAAGGTCAGATTTCACCTGTTTAAATGCTCCCCATGATGACCTGCCCATGACCTCTGCTTGGGGAGACTCTCCTGATGTCCTGATGCACTTCTGCTCTACCCAACTAAACTGCCCTGAGGGCTCCCTGAGGTGTGATTTAAGCAGGACTTGTGGATGTCCATGACACAACTTCCATGGGACACCTGCTAAACCTGTCCAGCCAACTGCCCTTCACTGTTCCAGCCAGTTCTTCTGACATGCCTTGAGAACCCAGGGAGAAAATCCTCTCTGAGCCATTGCCCAGCCACTCTTTAACCTTTTGTATTTATCTTTTTATGTAGGTGTTAATGTACAAACTTCCCCTTCTGTGCTCTGATAACACACACATATCAGAATGTGTGAACCCATGCAGAGCAAGAAACATGTAAGCTGTGATTTTCCTCCATCTCAGGAATATATTTTGGAAATAAACCCATTTTTTAACACAAAATGGGAAGTAAATTGTGTTATGATGATGGTAATTACTGGTGTTTGATCTCCTCTGGCACACCAGGGCAATGAAAGCAGGCATTCATTTAAAAATATGAGTCTCTTCCTTGCAGTATAAAATCATGAAAGACAACTGTTAGGTGGGTAATATTAAAGGATCTACAGTTCTGGACAATTATTGGCCATTTCTCTCCCTCAATCACTACTCAGCACCTTGCTCTCTCCTGTGAAGTGTTTACAGACACCTGCACTCATGACAGAAATTCTCCCAAAAATGAGCATTGGTTGAAGGTATCTCAGATTTTAAACATTTGTTTTGACAAGAAAGGCGAGCAAATTCCTTCTGTCATCAAAGGAAAGCATTCCAAGGGGGAAAGCTGCTCCTCCCAGACCATGTTCTTCCTTCAGAAAGCTCCAACCCTGCTCAGCTGTGGGGGTAACGCACACACACACCTCGAGGAGCTTAAAATGCACAATTTGCTGTCATCCTAATGATCACCTCTCCCATGGCTGGTGGCCACTGTGACTCTGTGCTCCATACCTTGTTCTTGCTGCTCTCACAGGACTGTAAACTGGCCAGGATCTGGCTCTCTATGGCTTGGACCCACGCGTCCCTCTCTTCGTAGGTGGTTGCTTCAAAGTGCCAAGTCTGGCCCGTGAGAGAGACGATGATAAACTCAAAGTTTTCTTCTTGCTCTGGGGGGAAAAAAAAAATAAAGAAATGCAATAGGAAGAAAAGATTAAGTTAAGGATAGTGAAAAGTAGCTGAAACAACCTTGGTTGCAGAGAACTTCAGTTACACAATGGTTTTAAGCTGAAGGAGGGCAGGGTTAGGTGGGATACTGGGGATAAATTGTTCCCTGGCAGGGTGGGCAGGCCCTGGCACAGGGTGCCCAGAGCAGCTGGGGCTGCCCCTGGATCCCTGGAAGTGTCCCAGGCCAGGTTGGACAGGGCTTGGAGCAGCCTGGGATAGTGGAAGGTGTCCCAGCCCATGGCAGGGGGTGGAACTGGATGATCTTGAAGGTCCCTTCCAATCCAAACAGTTCTGGGATTGTGCAAATCCTGTAAGTGCAGGTCTGGACACAAGGTTTGAGGCTGGATCCTGCCCTGTGCAGTGCACCAGGAAACAACCAGGATCCACTGCTTTTTCTCTTCAAATTCTGTGCAGATAAAGCACTGGTTTGGGTAAATCCCTGTGTTTGTGAGTTTGGAATTGAGCCTGTAATCAAACATAAAACGGCCAACAAACATAATTGAAATTTAAACCTGAGATGCTAAAAGCTGCATAATGTAAAAATCAAAGGGTGCCACAAAATAAAAGGTGAACAAACCACAAGGAGCTGACAATAGAGAAAATGTAACAATTTACCCTCTTCTTTCAACCAGTTTTTACAAGCACAGATATACTAAAGCAGATGTGGACATTTTCTCTTCTACATCATAAATACTGGGATAATACTACTACTAATAATAATACTGGGCTATAATACAGGATTAAAATCAATTCAACCTATTCAACATCCACATCCGACATGGGAGATGAGAAAATGATCTGACAAGCCAGGAGAGAGGGTCAGTGAAATATCCTTAGGGCTACTGGAGGATAAGGACAAGTATTCAGGCCAGAGAAGCAGCACATGGAAATAGCAGCAGAACTGAAATAAATGGACACACACACCCCACCTACACATGGGACACCAATGCCAAATTAAAAAAAATCAAGGAAGCTGAAACAGAGAAAGTGCAATTGGGAAGGGCTGGCATGAAGCATGAAAGGAAAAGAATAGAGCACAAAATTCTGGGGAACATCAGCCATAACGAGCTTCAGAAAGAACATTTTGTCCGATAATGAGTTATTATATATTCAGAGCCATGACACTACTGTGTTCCCTCATCATCCATAAACATGCAAAGATCAGGGATGAATCCAGCACCAGATTTAAGGACAGCACTGCTGCCTGCTGGCAGTTGTGTTCCCAAGCTGTGGGACAAGGGGTTTTCTTGGATAAGCTCCATGTCAGCAAGGCCAGCGCCTGCACCGCTCCAGGGATGCCTCAAAAACAGGAGTGACTTGGCACCTTGAGGTGGGGATAAATATGGAGCTGAAGGCTGTTTTCAAGTGCAGGAAGGCACCTGATATAGAACAGGGTATGGGATAAGTGGGAAAAGAAATCATGGAACATCTAGAATTGGAAGGGATCCAGAAGGATCAAAGTCCAATCCCTGGCCCTGCCCAGACACCCCAATAACCCCACCCTGTGCATCCCTGGGAGCCCCTGGAGCTCTGGCAGCCTCGGGGCTGTGCCCATTCCCTGGGGAGCCTGGGCAGTGCCAGCACCTCTGGGGGAAGAAGCTTTCCCTGATCTCCAACCCAAACCCCCCTGACACAGCTCCATGTCGTTCACTTGGGTCAAAGATGAATGATGCAACTGCACAGCTGCAACTGTTCCATTTTAGCAACACTGTGTTCCAAACAGGCAGGTACAAACATCACCCAAAACACCGTGAATAAATCATGGACAAAGCCTCATTTGTCAAGGAGAGCTTTCAGGGATTCATGAGGAAGATCTAAGAGGAACTACTCCACAATAAATGAAGTTTACATTCAGTCCTGTGCACTGTCTCCTGTAGGACAATGCAGTTAAGGTCTCTGCAGCACCACTGAATCCTCTGATCTCTTTAATAAAGCTGATAACACATGCATGGAGCTGGTTTGCCCAGGAGAAATAAGCCCAGGAGAGCTGCAGCAAATTTTCAGGTGGGGCTGGAAGGATATTTTGAGGTCTAGAGAAAAAAAGTGAGCTGGGGAAGAGTCTGAAGCCCCAGCAGGGGCTGAGGGAGCTGGGAAAGGGGCTCAGCCTGGAGCAAAGGAGGCTCAGGGGGAATTTCTGACTCTGCACAACTCCCTGACAGGAGGGGACAGCCGAAGGGTCGGGCTCTGCTCCCAGGAACAGGGACAGGAGGAGAGGGAACGATTCTAACCTTAATAATTCCATGATTCTATATCCACTGAAGCTTCAGATTTACTCCCCAAAAAGCTGTGCTGGTTGAAGACATCTTCCCTAATTTTTTTCTGCTTAAACACACCAATATTTTTTTTTCCCTCAAGCTCAACTGTGAAACAAAGCAGCAGTGCCTGCTCCACATCACCTCCAGGGCAATTCCTTCAGAAGACAAGGAACAAACCTGTTCCTGTACGTCCTTAAGCACAGCATGCAGGAACAGGAAAATCCAGGCGGGAGGATGAAGTTGTTCACTTTTACTCTTCAGTCAAATTATAGGTTGTGCTATTTAAATCCCTGTGAGCCCAATCACAAAATTTTATTAAACAGTTTTCCATGTTTAACAGTTATTCATGGAAAGGTCCACTATAATAGTATTTTAGCACCATCAACCTGTCGAAATCAACCTGCCCAATTACTCCAAACTACATTAATAACACCGGATATTACACTAATTGTGTCCAGTTTCTATGCAGACGAGGTCTCGTGGGGCTAATTTTGCATCCTCAGGGGCAAGCAACTCAGCCATCAGCCTGATTTCACCAGGAATCCCTCCTCATTACACAAGTCCAGGCTGTCAAACTTTTTTTTTTTTTTTTTAAGAAAAAAAGGTTAATGGGCCAATCAGTCATCAATTATTTCCTGGAAGGGCAGCAGAGGAAGGGTTAAAGTGTGAAGAACCAGCTGCCACTGACTTCCATTTGGTAGTTATTATCAACAGGAGATGTCTAAAATGCTGTTGTTGTTTGCTTTGCTTGTTTTTTTTTTTGAAGAGGGAAGGGTGGCTGGGATGGGAAATAAACCAAAACTGTGACATTGTGATGATATGGAAGGAAAAGAACAAGAGATTTTTTTTTTCTTTTAGTAGAAGCTGGCATGGAATCAGTGAATTTTAGGGTGCCCAGCTGTGGCTGCCCCATCCTTGGAAATGTTCCAGGCCAGGTTGGACGGCGTTTGGAGCAACGTGGGATAGTGGAAGGTGTCCCTGCCATGGCAGGGGGTGGAATGGGATGGGCTTTAAGGTCCCTTCCAACCATTCTGGGATTCCAGGGACACTCTTCTCACCATCATCTTTCCATAGTCAACTGCATTTAACCCAAGTTCATGTTTATTCTGCTCTGCCAAAAAAACAGACACTGCCACAGCCCACCCACTTCTGGAAAACAAAGAGATAAAATTTCTTAGGAGCAATGGATTGTGGAAGAAAAAACAAATGTTCAGGGCAGGGCCTCACTGCCTTTCTCCATCCCACGTGTTTGTGATGTGGGACTGAGATCAGGTTTAGAAAACCACACTGAAAATTACCACAGGATACAATTAGTCCGTAACTTGTTCCAGAGAACTCCATTTTAAGTCTGTGGAATGCAGGGGAAACACATGTCCAGAAGCACTCACACCTCTTGGTATCGCTCAGGAATGGCTCTAAATAATCTGCACAAATCAGCTTGGTCTCCATTTCCACTCCCCACCTATTTTGCTCTCAATGTTAAGAGCTGCATAAATAACCACTGACACTTTGCACCAGTGATGGGCACAGTTCAATCACAAAATCCCAGAAGATCAGGTTGGAAGGGACCTCAAGGATCACCTGGTCCAACCTTTCAGCACAGAAAGTCAATGGGAGGCAAGGGCTCCTTTCTGACCTGCAGAAATCACACCCGTCCTAAAAGTTGGCTTTTAAACAAATAAATATTAAGGTATTTCTAAGAGGCATTTATGATTGCCAGAACCAGGATTAAGATCTTCTGCCTTCCAGGCCAAGCAGGCTGTGTATTTGGATCTCTGCCCAACACAGCTGTCTGATAGCAGAGGCTGCTGCTGCTAATTAACAGTAACTCATCACACGCATCTGGAGGGTGGTGCCACTCACACAGGAAACACTTCCCAGGAACAAGAAGTCAAGTGCAGCACCAAAACCCCCTCGAGGACGTGTTTCAAATGCTCCTGAAGCACCTTCAAGAGCTGAGGTTACTGCCTGAATCCCAGCCAAGCCTGCCTCAAGTAACACCCAGACCTATTTAAGCTCCTTTTTCATCGCCTCCTCCTCCCTCTCCTGAAAATCTCTTCTGCTCAAGCACCATAACCCTTCATCCTTTCAAAAGGAGGAGAGGGAAGAGCTGCTGGGGTGCCCTGGCAAGCAACAGGAGTTGTTTACAACACACAATTTGTTTACAACATGTTATTTACGCGCCATGCGTGTTAGGTCGCGTTACCTTTTGCCACTGGGTGTGAATTACCCCCCTCACTTGGCAGATAAGTATGTTTATTAGCAGCCTCAATTAAGGAAATATTTGTGCCATGTCCCACTGGGCATGGCTATGCTAATACTTCTATCCCCTTTCCAAACCCAGTGTCTAAATCTAATTAGTTTTGAAAATCAACCCTATCAGGACAATGGAGCTCTGCTATCGCTTGCCCACAGCCCTTGGTAAAGGTTGTGTTCCACTGCAAGAGTTTTATTCTGGTTTATATCACATTTATCTCAGTACTGCTGAAAGGCTGAAGGCAATGAAGCCCTCTGCCTCATGGACTCAATGTTTTATTTGGGTGCCAAGACAGCACAAGTTAAAAATTTTTTAAAATTCAATTTAGACAGACTGGATTAACTTCCTGCATGGGCTCAGCACCATGGCAGCAAGAGCATCACTTTGAACCAAAAGTATTCTGTTTTTTCAAACAAAAAAGTTTTCCCCCAGAACTCAGCAAATCCAATCAAAATTACACATGCAAGAGTGAGGAGGGGAAAAATCAGGATTTAATATCTTTATGCATGCAGAGCATAGGCATTTAATTCTTTAAAGACAATCCTTCCTGCTGTGCTGCAAAATCAGAAAATCACAGAATGGTTTGGGTTGGAAGGGACCATAAAGATCATCCAGTTCCACCCCCTGCCATGGGACACCTTCCACTATCCCAGGCTTCTCCAAGACTGTCCAACCTGGCCTTAAATTTGTTGATATAGAAGAAGTGATTCTGTATTTTAATAATACTGCCATGATAACAGCTACTCTTAAAACCAGAGTGAGTTTTTTTTAAGCAAAACCTGTTTTTCCCCCTAAAGAAGTAAAGGATTGCTTCGAGCCTGGCTTCCTGCAATAGGGAGCACCTGGGACTTTTTCATTTGTCAGTGGTTTCCTATGGAAAAAACCCCAAAATTTGACAACTAAAAAGTTTAGGCAAACTCTGAAATGAAAGAAAGATTTCTTGTAATGAGATAGAACTGATGGAGGAGGTAACTCTGAAATTCTGGGGCAAGGTGGAGGTTGGACTCTGCTGCCAGGGAACAGGGACAGGACGAGAGGGAACGGCCTCAGGCTGGGCCAGGGGAGGCTCAGGAGGGACAGCAGCAGGAATTTCTCCATGGAAAGGGGGTCAGGCCTTGGAGTGCAGTGCCCATCCCTGGAGGTGCCAGAGGAAGGCCTGGATGTGGCTGCTCTGGGCTGGTGACAAGGTGGGCATCGGGCACAGGCTGCACTCAATGGCCCTGGGGAGCTTTTCCATCCTCAGGGATTCTCCAACACCCTCAGAAGGTTGGGTCCTTCAGCTGGGATCCCACACCTGGTGAAAATCCCAGACAAAACATTATTTTTGTTGTGAAACAGCCAGAAGAGAGCAGCCCCTCTGATGGGGAAGCTCAAGCACAGAGTCCCCCCACACTAGGGACCATTGAGGCGGTAGGATTTTAGCTTCCCTATTTTCCATATATTTGTAATCCTGCAGTTCTTTAGGGTGTAACTCTGAACTCCATATACAGTGATAGCTACTTTACTATTATTTACTTTAACTATTAGTTATTCCCATTTTGGTCAGACACAACAATTCCTCTCCAGGCCTGCAGTTGAGGACACCTCACTGCCTCAGGACCTGAGAGATGCAAACAAAAGTGAGCTGGGGGCAGCAAACTTGGGGTAAATGACTTAATTACCCCTAGCTGTAATTGGAAGATTAACTCCCAATATGCAAATAGACCAAACTTATAAAACTGTGAAAACCCATCATCCCTTTTTTGGGTGTAGTCACTGGAGGGGGCTTTGCCTGCCCTAAATGTACCTGAAGGCCCTTCAATAAATTTAAGATTCATTCTCTCAATTTTGTCTGGCTGCTGTTTTCAGGCTGAAAAAGGCATCACCATCACCTCCCCCAGCACAACTGCAGCACGTGGGCAGTTAGAAATTAGAGAAATATTAGAAAAAAATTAGAAAAATAATATGAAAATAATGTTCCTCTGGCTATGTGGTTGCCCTCATGTATTTTCTGAAGCATTGGCAGGAAAATCTCCATGTGCCAGGAGAATATACTTCAAATCCTGCCTGCATGGCAAACATCACATTCTCTTTTGCAGCACTAATGCTGCTTGACTGGTCAGTCCATGGTGCAAAGGCTAGAGCAGACCCCATATCTTTTGCCTTTTTAGTGTGGACATTGATATTCATGTTGAAGGAATGCTGGGCAATGAGTAGTAAGAAACTAGAAGGGTGACATTTCCTAGCAGAATCTAAACAGGCATCTCAGATATATCCCTGCCAGTTTTATTTTGTCCAGCTCCACCTGAGATGTGCCCACCTGGCAGCACACACACAAGCCCTAAACACACCAGGAGGCTGCTAAAAATGATGGAAGAGCTTTTCAAACCTGGGCTGAACCTGACAGAAAAGCTTTTGGTGTGGAAATAGGTGTGAGTGCAACTGAGCAAGCGTGTGCCAAGGACCAAAGCAGATTTGTTATTCTGGACTGTCAATTCCCATCATCGTTCTCTTTTTTGAAGGCATAATTATCTAAACATGTGGTTTTTAATACTTACAATGCTCATTAACTCCACATTTGCATGTCTCACCATTCCAGCTCAAAGCTATGAACATCGAACCTCCAGCTTTTGGTGCTGGGGGGGGGAATAAAACATCCAAAAAAATGATACATTTGCCCAATTTTTGAATTTCATTTTGATGCTGTGTCTCAAAACTTTTTGGGCCATGGCCAGCAGGTCCATGTTCCCATACCAAGGTGCCTTCAGCACTAAGTTTGATTAGTAAGATAGAAGACTCCTTAAATTAGACAAGTCCTAAAAAAAGTTGATTTGTAAAACACAAGGGAATTCCATATATTTGTTCCTCTGCTGAAGCTAATTAACAGATAGATAAAAAATCACAAGCTTCTCAAGCACTAAACCTGTAACAACAAACATACCTGATCAAAGCAAAAATTGGGCTGGGAGGTATAAACAGCAAATAGAAAATTTAAAATTATTTAAGTGTCTATGTAGACAAAAAAGACAAAACTTATGAATATCTGACAGTCACTTTCTGTCTTTTCATATTTTGCATTTCATATTTGAAAAGACAACAAAAGGATCAAACCAGCCAAATTAGGAGCTCTGAAAGGCAATAATTTTACACTTAGGCTGAAAAATGAAGTAAGATTATACTTAAAACAAAATAAAATAAGCTGTTTTAACAAGCTGGAATAAAAACCCCACTTTTGTTTCCTGTGCACACTTTGGCAGGGAGAGCCAGGCCCCTGCCAGCAGCCTGGGCTGTAATTGTGCAAAAAAAGGACGGTGATATAAATCACCAAAGGTTAATGATCAGGATGTGAACAGAGGGACTTGTTTACAGAAATAGCATGCAATTTAAAATTTACAAGAGATTTAATGCCACCGCTTGGCAATCACTAAAATCAACAGCCCAGAAAACAGTGACATTAAGAAAAATATTACAGTTATAATCATTCCAAAATAAGTCAATTAGTGTTAGGGCATGCGCTCGCGATTACTTGACCCATTTGGTTCGCACTTAAGTGAAGAGAAAAAAAAAAATCCCCCTCCCTGATAGCGAGATTACTGAGTTGTGACCTATTTTGCATTCCCTGTTCCTTACACCATCCCTCTTCCATGCTGCTGGAGATGGTGGTGGTGGGTTTTTTTTTTTCCCTCCCCCCTCTCCTCCTTGCTTGGTTTCTGAGTCATTCTGACCTTTGACATTTGTAATAATAATAAAAATATATATGTATTAAAAAAAAAAAAAAGGGGAGTTTATAATTGTGTTGTTCAAATGAAGGTGGAGAGGGGAGGGGGGGGAAATAAATACATAAAATTCCATGTGCTATTATACAGAAGGCATGATGGCTGTCTCGGGTGGGGGAAAAAAAAAAAAAAGCAATGTAAGTCAATTTGTGAACTTTGGCACCGGGTGACCTTTAGAAATACAACAATATCCAGAATTTACAAGCAAGAGTAGCACATGCAAATGACCCGGCACTGTCTCGCCTCTGGATTAGAGCTGCAAAGAGCATTATGGAGAAGGCTTGCACAAAACAAATTAAGATTGTTACTTAAATGTCATGGCACACTATTGTATTTGGCTACAGATCATTACACCTGATACTAACACTTTTAAAAACGGTAATAACTTGGGAAATATTACATTGTGCCCACATGGAGAAAGGGAAAATATATATATATATATATATATGTATCTCTTAAAAATAAAATAAAGGGAGAAAATGGATTCCTGAAGTAATTTAAACATCAGCACTCCACGACTAGAGGGAAAGGTCAAAATTTAAGTAAGCTGAAAGGAACATGAATGGCAAAATAAAAGGCACCAACAGAAAGATGAAAAGACCAAGTGGAATGACTCTGCAAACACGGGGTGGAAACAAACACGCATGCTTGGGGCAAATCTCATTTCCAGGGGCAGAGGGAGAGAGAGGCAAGGAGGGTGAAATTTTGGAGAAGTGGGTTAAAAAAGGTGGGGAGAGAGGAGGTGTTTGTCTGGGACGGGTGTGTTTGTTACCTTCGGTGTTGGTGCTGCTGCTGCTGTAAATATTTCGCAGGCTACCAACACGGTTTAGTTTCCAAGCTTTGCGTTTGGCTGCGTCCAGAGAGCAGGAGGGGAAGAGAGAGAGAAAAAAAAAAACAACAAAAAAAGAGAATAAAAATAAAGAAAAAAGAAGGGGGAGGAAGAAAAAAACAAAAATTGTTGTTTTTTTTTTTTTAATGAAAAAAGGGAGAAAAGAAACATCAAAAAGCATGTAAAGTAAAATACAAGCACGAGCCTGTTCACACACAGAGAAAATGCACACAAGGACCACTCAGCCCCTGCAATCCAGGGCCAATGTGGAAAACCTCGTATTCAGTCATTCAGAGTGATTCTTCTTTCAGTCAACATGACACAATTTGACAAGATTAAATGGATCTGCTATTGGAATAGACAAAACAGACCAGCAGAAGTTAAAAAAAAAAAGAAGGAAAAAAAAGGAAAAAAAAAAAAGGGCAGGAAGTATTTGTGCAGAAGATACAGGACTGGATGAAACAGCTACTGTAAGATGTGATTTAATTCAAGACAAAACACAGCCAGACAAGAGCTCCTTTTCCTCCTAAAGCCTGTGGGGATCACTTGGTGCCTGGAGTTCACCCTTAAGCCTCCTTTTCACATCATCACCTTTAGAAACTGAAGTGATGATGTAATGACCTTAAATCCTTGTACCAACAAATGTTCTTTGTAGCACTGAGCTCAGAGGAAGTAGAGTCATACAATCCCAAAATGGTTTGGGTTGGAAGGGACCTTAAAGTGCATCTTGTCCCACCTGTGGGCAGGGATGTTTTCCACTATCCTGAGCTCCTCTAAAATTCCTCCCCCACTGCAAAGTTTAAGTGTTTATTTAGAAAGAGGGAAAAAAAGATGTCTATCCTTTACAGAGAATAGCAACACCTTTGTTTTATTAGAATTGACCCAAACTTTGAGATCCTCTGCTTCACAATTATCAGAAAATCTGGCTCAAAAGCGCTCTGTTCCTGGGCTCATTAGGGGAGAGCACATTTTTACCTTCTTTACAATCTTTAGAACACTTTGGTTAGGCTGGGTTTCATCACACAGGAACCAGATGAAACATCTGAGTGCGTCAGGACACCGACAGCGACTGGAATAACAGGGAACTGCTGGAATTACCATGTCTGGGAGTGTGTAAATGACATTTGGATGTGGGACAGGGTTTAGGGGTGAACATGATGGTACTGAGTTGGTGGTTGGACTCAAAAGTCTTCTAAGGGACCTCAGAGCCTTCTCCCTCCCACCACAGATGTCCCTCACTCTTTAGGATGTCATCAACACCCCAAAACACAGGCAGGACCAGGAAATGAGAATTTTAAAGATTTCCATTGATATTTATGAGGGAGTTTCGTTAATGCCCCACAGAACTCGGATCAAACAGCTGCTCCCAGGGAAAAGGAACACCAAGTCATTCCAGGCTTTAACAAAAAGCTCCATTTTCAGCAGAAGAATTAAAGCTGGAAGAGCACTGCCTAAACCCCCCTGACTTAAGCTAGGTATGATTTGAATAAAGCCATCAGCAGGCTTTAATGCTCAATACAGAAAATGAGGACTGGATTCTGAGTGACATCATCAAATCCTGAAGTGCCTTCATTGGGTGCATCCTTCAAGCTGGAAAAACCCCTTCATTTTAAGGCCTATTTAAGAAGTCTCCACACTAGAGAGGCACAATTGCCCTGCAGAAAACTTGTTTTTCCTCTGAAACATTTACATATAAATAGGCAAAACCGAGGTTTGGCACCCCTCTGAAAGCGAAGATGGTCTCCAGTGCACAGAGACCCTTTCCCAGTGCCTTTCCCATTTTTCACACTTTAATGGCACGTTTGTGCGAGCAGGAGTGAACCTGCAGCCTGCTTTTCTATTAACCTATTGATGAAATAATCCATTTTAATGTGTTGAGTGTCAGGCCTTTCCCTTCCCTTTAAACAAATGGACTTTATCCACAGAGATGCTGAGTTCCTGATCCATCCACGTGCATCCTTTAGCATCGATTAGGCTCCTGCCTGCTTCCTCCAGGTGCTCTCCTGCCTTTGAGGATTCAATAAGGGTTTGGACACTGCCAAGCAAAGCCTCTGCAGGGTGATTGATGTGCCAGGGAGAACAGAGCCATCCTACCCTGCCTGCCTCTGGAATTACACACTGGTGTTACCCACAACTGCTGGAACAGGCCCTGCAGGTTATTAGCTGCCTGCTTTGTCTCTGAATTATTTCCCAGGATACTCAGTTTGTCTGCTCTGGGTTCACTTCCTGCTCCCAAAGTTAACCCAGCAAAAGCTCTTGTTGCCAGCTCCAGAGATATCTATATCTATTCTATATCTATATCTATAACTATATCTATATATCTATATCTATCTATATATTCTATATCTATATCTAATCTATATCTATATCTATATCATCTATCCATATCTATATCTATCTATAGCCATCTTTATCCATATCTATATAACCTATGTCTATATTCATATATCTATATCTGTATCTATCTATAATCTATATCCATATCATCCATATCATCTAGATCTCCCTATATATCTACATCTGTGTTTATTATCCAGATCTATTTTCTATATCATATATATGCTTAATTAAATAAACCCCAACTTGGTTACCAATAAAATGATGTAAGAAATACTTCATTATCTAGCAGCACAACACCCTAATGAAAAAAAAGATCTTTAAGGCAGATTGATTTTGAAGAAGTTTTTGGAAGTGTGTTTTCTTCCAAAAACACCACCAAGAGGTGTTTCTAACTAAAGATTCCAGGAAAAAAAACCCAGACGAGCTTTCTCGAACATCTGGAATGCAGTTAACACCTTCCCAGTACTGAATTTAACTTTGACTGAAGAGGCAAACAGTATTGTTCCTGGGATACTGACGGTCCAGGGTGCCCCATCAAGCCCAGCATCTGAAGAAACACCACCATGGCCACTAAGCCACACCAGAAAATGCCACATTTACTCTGATTTTGAACACCTCCAGGGATGGTGACTCCAGCACTGCCCTGGGCACCTGTTCTGATGCCTGAGCACCTTTCAGTGGAGAAGTTTTCCTTGTCCCTGACCAGAGTGGTGGTGGCAGCTGCAGGACATCCAGCTGGATCTGGGGACACAGATCATCCCTTTGCTGACCCTTCTGAGCGCTCCCTGTGAGCTGCACTGTCCCAGTTTGTGTAAAAGGAGCTTTTACACCTGCACATCTCAGAGTGAGAAGAGGTATGTTGGTACAGGAGGCTTCAGGACAGCTTTTTGTTAAGATATGGAGGAACTGGGAATCAATTAAACTTAATCACTCCCAATTACCACCTCTCTTTGTATTTGCTCAGGCAATAACTTTACAGCTGTGAGCAGCCCCTAACAGACAGAATTTCTGTGTTTGCTTTCTTTAATAGGGCTGCTATTTATTCTCTGCTAATGAATCTGCTTGTCCTGCCTGGTTTTGATTAGTCTGTAGTAAATATGTTTACTACCACTGTGATCACGTAGCATTATTTCCAAAAGCAGGGGGTGTTTGTAGGAAGGGCTTAAACCCAAGTGTGATCTGAGGACACATCTTTTTGTTACCTGGGAAGTTCTCTAAGGATGCTCAGGATATTACAGTCAACAGAACACCACATTAACCCTTTTCAACCCACTCCAATTCAGTTCTTTTTGACATTTTGGTACGCAGAAACACACTTTTATTCCTGGGAGAGTGTCCACATGTACAGTCTAACCCTGCACACCTGCCTGCAGTGCTGCAGTGAGGCATTCCAGATGTGCTAGGGCCACCTCTGCTCTTTGCTGATGAGATAAATACTCCTCAGTGCTGATTAAAAGCTGCTGTGGCCGCTCGGCTGCGTGTCTGAGCCTCACCAGCCATGTTGGAGGTGGAAGCCTGCATGAATTACATCCCTGGAGTGTGCTGAGCAGTGCTGATTAAATGAGGCACGCCACAGCCCTCAGCATCAATTATCAGAAATAATAGGATCTCTGCACCTAGGCTGGGGGAAGGGATGTGCTTCCCAGAGCCCGTGTGACTGAAACAACACCGGCCAGGCACCCCAGCAACGCTGCTCTGCTCTGGGTGTGCAGCAATCCAACAGCCAGGAGGAGCTGAGGAAAATCCTCCTCCCACAGCACAGGCCAGGGGAGCTCCTCCAGGTAACACCTGTGTGACATTTGCCCAGGAAAACTGACTTGGAAGAGGTGGAGGGAAGGCAAAGCTGAATATTTTGGGATAAACTTCAGCCCTGCCCCTGCTCTTCCTCGAGTTTTCCTGCAGCACGTGTGGTTACACCAGGGGCAGGCTGGGGAGTTTGCTTCCTTCTTGGTCAGCAACTTGTCCAAGCAGACCCTGCTCTTTGGTCAGAGGGTTGAAATGGTTTCATTAAGATGCAGCTCAGGGCATTCTCACATCATGCAAATTTGTCCCTGTGACTGTGAAGGGGCTTGACATTGTCACACCCTATGTGAAAGCAGAAATGACAAAAATTCCTCAAAAAAGGGTTAAAAAAACCTCAAAACAAACCCCAGGCCTATCTAATATAGCTCTACACATAAATATGTATTTCTAAGTAAAATGAACTGGATACACTGCATTTCCAGGTCTGCCCAACACTAAATTTTAAGATTTAGAAATGCCACAAAGTGCATGGATCATACACAAAACACAGACTCAAAAAATGGTTTGGGTTGGATGGCACCTTAAAAACCATCTGGCTCCAACCCCTGCCAGGGGAAGGGATGATAAATATGTTCACTGTTTTTCTATTTACTAAACCAGATTTCCACAATGAACCTGTCTTAAAACACTTGAATGTGACTCTAAAGTTTCCCAGCATTTGGAGCAGGAGGGATTATCAGGACATATGTCCCAAAAGACCAAAAAAATGGGGAGACAGGAGATATTTCTTATGGCAGCAGCTCTTACATATGAAGTCCCTTTTTGGACTTCAGAACACTCAGAAAAAACAAACTGATGTAAATCAAATTAAGAAAAATGCTGAGTTTTAGAAATTTTCCTGAACACAACTAAAATTGTACATCTGGACCAAAAAAAAC